ACCCTGCCTCAAAAAAATATGAGCAGTTGAAGTAGACCCTTGATATTGACTGTTAACATCCACATACAAACATAGGTTGGTGACATGCGAATGCACACAGGAACACCCTCCCCCCACACACACCAATTTCTTGCTTTCTACCCAAATTGTTTTTCTTTTATGTACATCATTTGGAAGCTGCGTTAGTATAGAGTCAAAACAAACTTGAATCTAGGATAATTATGATAGGGTCGTCAGGTGTTTCTCAGTCAAATCCTGTTTTACTACAGGAAACCAAAATGAAACCCAGTTCATTGTAAGGACTGCAGTTATTCAGGTTGTGGGAGTACATCCTACTACAGCACATGAAACAGGGACTGGAAGAGACCAGCATGAAAAGAAGCTCTGATTGGATCTTAGTGGGATCGTATGACCTTGGCTTAAGGGCCCTTTGCCTGCCTGAGCCATTTCACTCCTTGTCTTGGTTGGGTGCTAGTACAATTCATAGCTTGCCTACTCCCTTAATTTTATTCTATACTGTCCTCCTGTCTTTTTGTAATACTGAATTTGAGATCTCAATATTTTCCAACTGGGTCTAAATGCTGACAAGAAGCAGTCTTATTATCTAGAAGCATGTAGCTACTCAGCCTGGAGCTTCATATCAACCTGGGGTGGATATTCACCCTGATTCTAGGTTGTAAAGGTGCTAAGACTTTCTCCGAGGAGTGCAGGTATTAGGATAGATAGCAATTTGGAAGAGCAAAAGGATGAAAGCCCAACATTAAGACATGATGCCTGATAATGAAATAGATGTTAATAACCCTGATTTGATCATTACATCTCATAAAAAGGTGTCAGATTCTTACCCTCTATTTCATGAATATGTAAAATTATTCCATGTTAAAACGTATGAAATCCAAAAATGAGACTATTGAAATTGTAGCATAAGGGCATAGCAAGGAAAGAGTGTCAGCTGAAGTTCAGTGTAGTTTGCAAATTTATAGTATGGAGTTTTACCATTTAAGATATTAGAACATGTTATCCAGGTTTTGGCTTGCTAGCATAGCCACTGGCAATATCCTAAAAAGGCTTTATGGGTTAAATTATAGCCTGGGTATGAGTGGATGGAGTTGGAATCCTAGAGAGGAGTTAATTATGACCTCAGACCTTGAACTTGAACTATGAACAACATAGTTATTATGGTCTATAAAATTATAGATATTATTTCATGTTAGATTCAGTCTTTTTATATTGTGGATTTTATAGGTTTCCTTCTAACTTCCATGAGTCAGATGGCATTGCCCTCTTTTCTTTCTCCCTTTCTTGAAAGAAAGCACGTGGCCAGCCTCAGTGATTTAAATCATTTGAAAGAATACAACATATCATACCACTCAACATTATACTCATATGAATTAAGAATGTTTCTCTTGTTCCAATAGAATATAATTTTTATGTTTATACATTTATAAATATTTTCACCTGCTCATTTAACATTGTGACTGATATATGACTTCAATAAATTACAATTTTTCTTTATACTCAGACATATTCTGGCATACATAATGCTTTTGAAGATATAAAAATATGAACATATTGTGATTAAGGAGATGTTAAAACTCTATAAAAATGAGAAGAATGGCAAGAGACAAATCATCTTTAGGATTTTTTATGGGCTCTACAGCTGTGCTCATAGGTCTTCTCAAAAGTGTTTGTCTTATCCACCCATAGAGACCATGGGAGTAGTGAAACAGGATGAAAACCCTGTTCTTGGTTGAGAAAATAATACATCATTAGAACTGGAGTCACTTACATTAGGTCAGCTGAATACTATGGAGGTAAGACAAATGGGACAAGGTGTGTGTGGTTCTGGATTAAAAAGAACAAATAAACAGATACAATACAAGGCAGTTAACTCTCAGGAGGTTTCAGTTAAAGAGTCATATTATTAAGTGAGGATGCACTTTCCAGAGACAGAAGAACTCCAAATGAGATTGGCTTTCAAAATCACTTCAATTAGCAGAAAGTGTTCAAATAGAGACTAATTATCTGAGGCGAATGGCAGTAAGCTTTTCTCTGTCTGGTGGAAGGTTGTATTAAATTCCATAGACCTTTGTAAATCTTATGTTTCATGATGTTATATTCGCTGAATTGAATCAGAGCCTTGTGTATCTAAATATAATCTACAAACACGATGATGTCTACATTCTTTTTATAGAAATTCTCTAATCAATTTGAATAGTTACTTTCTGCCTTTTTTTTCTCATAAAAGTTAAGAGCAGATATAAAAATAACATTTTAAATCACATTGTACCTTAGGAAAAAAATGTCTAAGAAGGAAGAAATGACAGGCTTGTTAAGAGTAGGAAAGGCTCCCAGGAAGATTAGCAAGTATGAATCATACGTTGAGATCAGAAGGGTCAATTCAGTGAGGCAAGCTTTAAAAAGGTCCATTGGTCTGATACCCAAGAGACAGGTTATGAAATGACTGATGCCAATCAAATCTCAAGTTGAAGGCTCTATGTGTGTGAGTGTGAGGGTGACTGTGTATTTCCACGGCTGAAATGTCAAATCAAAACCAACGTCAGTCATCACGGTGTCAGTGTGGTTGAGATGGGGTTGACATGTAGCTAGAGACTGGAGAAATGAAAGGTCTCTTTAAATGTTGAGAATTCATCTTACAGACTATTGGCAAGCAGGACTGAAGGCACTGTGCATCATTCCAGGCACGTTTGTGACTGGAAAGTTCCTACACTAACGACGGAAGAATAACCATCGGCTATAATATTGAATGCCTCTTTCAGACAAGATATAATTGGAGGCTTCTTATTTCTAATTCATTTCAGCCCAGCACAAGTGTCTCATCCTTCCACTTTCCCCTTCACAGCTCTTTACTATTGACTATAGATGTCTGTTTGTATTTTTTATCTTAGAGTTTCCCAAAGACATGATTATTATATATTTACACACTTTCTTCTATTTTTGAAATATTCATATTCATCATTCTGGTTATTCATTACAACATAGGATTTTAAAAGTCTGAATGCACCATCCTATAAGCATAAGGAGGTTCCGTTTCAAGCATACAATGTTTTCTAAGAATTTGTACTTCATCGTCTCCCTAGTCTTGCCCTGATTATTCTTGTCCACAATGCTCTTTGCTTACCACTTGCTCCTGAAAGGCAGTCCAAAAGGTTCAAGAGGAATGAAAAACCACTCAACAATTGATTTTTGCCCTCAACATTTGTGTCATGGCAGTAATAAAATAATGCCACAATTTTGAGTTCAATAAATTTCTTATTCTCCCGTGTTTTCTTTTCACACAGTCTTTTGAAAAGCACTACCGCACATTTAAACTTAATCATTATAAATTATATTTAAAGTTAACAGAAATGTGGCAGATTTTAATATATGTGGTATAAGATTGATATCTGTAGCCTCATTGAAAATCTTCAACATGACTAGGTTTTGCTGGTTTCATTGGGATTTGATACAGTGTGAGTTACTTAAAGACAGGAGCTATGACTTGTTTACCTCTTTGGAAATCAAGGCTCATGGCTAACATACAAATCATATCTATGTATTCATTTATTTGATAAATATTTTTGAGCCTTATTTATGGTGCCTGTAGTATGTGAGTCTCTAGGGCAACAGTGGCAAAAAACCAAAACAAAACTGGACAGTCTGTTTGTTGCCATTCAACAGAGAGAGAGTACAGATTCAAGGCCAACAAGATTGACACTAGGGACAACTCTTAGAATATTCATAACCTTGAGGGAACTACCTGAGCCTTGTTTATGTTTTCAAACAGGAAACAGAGGGATCTGATTGGTAAGGAACTCTTGAGTATTCATTGAATTAATACAGTGTGCTTTGATCACATAATATGTGGTAATTAGTCTCATGATTACAGAGTTTATAGTCTATCTAAGGAAGGGATAACTTAAGAACAAGCACATCAGAAAGAATGTATGGGGTTCTGAAGAAGAACCCTACTTATCTCTGTGTGGAGTAAGGGTCGGGGTAGCAATCATGCTCCTCGTGACACATGCTCAGTTTATGGCCCAAGTGAGTGCCAAAGGAACTTTCATCCCATATGGGAACATTATCATTATTCATGTTATGAGTGGTCTTGCCTTTTTCTACTTCCCTCCGAATTCTCTGTCTGTTAACAGACAGTGTGCACAGCCCTTGATAAGGCATTGCTGAGTTGCTTCATGCCTCTGTGGCTGATTTAACAAAACACTTGATAGCTGGGGTAGCGTTCACTCATGTGAGAAGTGTTACATCAGACCCCACCAGTAACAGCAAAGGGATGGAAGCTCAAAGGGATTGGAAGGCTCCATATACACCTAGGGCTGACATATCATCACAAAGGAGGTGATGCTTGTCTTCAGTGCTTGTTACTCTTGAGACCCAATATCAAGCTTCTATAAGTTTATTTTGCTTTTGAGGATAGTCAAACAAGGATTAACTAGAAATATGGATTTTTCAGGTCTTCTTTCTCCACAGTTCTTCACACAAAGATCTGACCATTTGGTGTTCATAAGCCAATTCCAATTGGGAAAGGGAATAATTTGTTTCTTAATGCAACTTTTAAGAATAAAGAGATTTGCTGCTAATTGTTTCAAGGCATTTAACATAACCTGGAGATGACTTGGGGCAGTCAGGTTATGTGATCAACAAGATACTGAGACATCCTACAGATTTTAGACACACTTACGTGTGGGCTTAGTAAACACTGTCTGTGATTCTAGCACTTTTTATTTATCAATAAAAATACTAAGAGAAGAGACTCAAACTGTTGACTATTTAGCAATAGAATTTTATATACTTTAGAATATGGGAGACAGCTAGTAGCTGCCAACATTCTAAGCACTTGTTGAATTACATACCTAAAATGTGAATCTAAGCCTGGCCTCTGTACAACCTTTAAGGAACACCATTGTGTGTGAGTGTCCATAGGAGTACACAATAACAAAGTTGACAAATCATCTTTATTTCAGTTCGCACACATCAACTGCACATCGCAATGAGACCAGGCATTAAAGCTAAACTACATCTAGTGGTAAACAATTCTCACCACATCTTCTTTCCTCCTCTTCCTGACTTCACCCAAACTGAGATTCATTTTGTGTTCCATTGCTCCTTTGAGAAATAATCACTCAGCACCTTAGCCCTTTTCCCAGTTTCTGTCTTCCTGACAAGGTCTGTGGTTTCAAAATGCCTCATTATCCTGGCTCTCCCACTGAGCCCTCGGTGTGGCGGCATCTGCCTCGCCTGTGGAAAGAACAGACAGGTTTTCCTCTCAACAGTCCTGTGCAGAGATCTAACCAGCACGTTGTCAAGCTGATTCTGAATGCAGTCCCTAGGAATAGGAGAGCAGACTGTCTGGGCCCGGTGTCACCCACCAGGAAGATGTTCTGCCGTTTCCTAGTCAAGGAGTAAAGTTCTGTGCTGTTGAAAAGACAAAGTTATATGTTTGTTTGAGAGCTAATAAACAAGGCCTGGGGTGAGAGAGTTACAGAATTCTCTCTCTCTCTCTCTCTCTCTCTCTCTCTCTCTCTCTCTCTCTCTCTCTCTCTCTCTCTCTGTCTCTCTCTGTCTCTCTCTCTCTCTCTCTCTCTCTGTCTCTCTCTCTCTCTCTCTCTCTCTCACACACACACACACACACACACACACACACTGGATCTGGTTCCTTGAAGGCAGAATTGATTGATATACTTAGTAGTCTGGATAGATTGCTTTCTTTCTGACCTGTTTGCCATATATTCTGTTGACAGATTCTTGCTACCTATCATGAAACAGTAAAAATCTTTTAAGAAGACCAAACTGCTTCTATTAACTTCTGTAAAGAGAACAAAATTGCAGAAAGTTAGCCTGCAGGAACTTCATTTTTCATAGATATGCAATTTATGCTATTTAAATATAAGCTTTTGATTCTAGGTTGAAGTGATCCTATTAAAAAGGTATGTGAAAGCCATTCCTGCTCAGATTCTTTCTACTTAGGGTCACAGGTGAATCTTCTTAAGTCTTTGCTATATAGAATTCTTGACTGGCACCTGACTTCACTTTTCCTGAACTGTTGAAACTGTTGCAGGAATGGCTATAAACTGATGCAGCAATGGCTGTTCGGGGCCCCATCCCCCCTTTAAAATTTTTGTGGGATTAAGGCTAGAGCTTGAATGAAGCATGTGTGGGGCTCTTGTGAAAAGCACATTTTAAGAAGGCAGCAAAGCAACAAGAAACAAAACAAAACCAAAAATCTCAAGAGCTACTAGTAGGCAAAGCATTAACATAATATTAAAAGAAACCAAAATCAGCACAAAACTCTATGATGAAAAAAATATCAAAAACTGAAAATGAGACAGGGTCGGTACTACTAATTTTACTTCTTACATGGGCATGGCAATGATTCTCACAGCATGGAATGGTTACCAGTGACCACCAGCAGTGTAGGGAGTGGCTTTTCCGAGCAGGAGAACATCTATTCCATTTCAGCCAGGCAAAGGTTGGACAATGAATGCACGGATGAAAGCCATGGGCTGTAGTAAGTTCTCGTCATTAAACACACTATGATCACATATAGTACTCCCCAGAGTATGAATTAGTTCTAAAAAGAAAGATGGGTAAAAGCTACCTAATGAGATACAGGGCATCTGTATCTCAGGTCTTCTGCTAACCAAAAGGCAAAGAAGGAAAGCAGGTATGGCAGTTGGACCAGGAGCAGGGTCAGGCTCTTATTGTAGGTATGCTACAGAAACATGGGGATAGACCAGTGTTTGCACACAGCATCTAATGATAAGAAAAATTATAATGTTTGCATAATAAATAAATATTTCTTTTAATCTTCGTGCTTCTTATTGAAATATGTAGATAGATTCATAGTTGAGGGGCTTTGGAATTTTTCCTAAATAATCTTCATCATTAAAAAAGCAGCACATACATAACATAAAATGTGTCTTTTACCCTGGTTTTCAAAATGAACTCTCTGTGGCACTGAGTTTATTCTTGTAATTGTGCCATAATGACTACGTGGCTAAAAGAAGGACGACTTAGTGAATGTGGCTAGTTTTTATGTCACTTGACATAAGCTAAGGTCATCAGAGAGGAGGAAGCATCAATTTGGAAAAGGCCTCCATAACATTGGAATGTTGCAAGCATGTTGGACATTTTCTTAATTAAAGATTGATATATGAGTAGATCCAATTCATTGTGAGTAGTGCCATGCTGGGTTGGTGACCCTTCCTTTATAAAGAAGCAGGCGAACAAGCCATGAGGAACAGACAACACACCTCCATGGCCTCTGCATCAGTTCCTACGTTCAGGTTCCTGTTCAGTTCGAGTTCCTGCCTTAGCTTCCCTCAGAGGATGTGATTCAGGATATGTAACCCAAACAAACCCTTTTTCTCTCCCAAGTTGCTTTTGGTTATGGTATTTTATAGAAACAATGACAATCCTAACTAAGATGGTGGGTAAAGTGCTTGCTATGCAAGAATGAAGATCTGTGTCTGGATTGGTAACTATAGTTCCTACGGCCAGACAGTAAGAGGAAAGATGATCCCCAGAAGCCTGTTGGTCAGCTAGACCGGCATACACAGCGGCTAAAACCAGGAGACTCTGTGTCAAGCAATGAGGATGGCAAGGAGTGATACCAGAGGTTATCTTATGACCTCCACACATGTACGGTACTATTTCCATACCTACAGGCAGACACAAATGCACACACAAAATTCATAGGCAGACACATACACAATAAAACAATAATAATAATAACTAGCATCCATCCATAGAGCATTTTGAACTTGAAATTTTCTCCTGAAGCTTTGCACTTCTTGCACAGCTCCCGTTTCCCTGTAACATGTAACACCTCCTACCCATGGATTTCACGACCAGAACTCACACGACTGGAGTCATACACATTTCATCCTTCTGTGTCTGACTTGTTTCACCAGTCATGGCATCTTCGAGGATTCAGACATGTTGTAGCAATGTCAGAATCCCCCTTCCTCAACTTCCATGAACCCTGTAGAGTTTCCCTTGTGCACTTTTTTCTTCCTTGTCTACCCACCTGCGGATAGATTCTTAGTCTGCGGTCACCTGGCAGCTCCTGGGAATAGTACTATCACATGTGTGAGTGAAAAAGTGTCCCCTTGGGGTCTCCACTTTTGAATCTTTAAGATCCCATATGTGAATGCATATGTGTACCCAATTTGTGCATGCATGGAGTATGTGTACAGGTGTACACAGAACAAGAGCCGTTGTGCCATCTGGCAATTCTATGCTTAATCAGAGGTCCAGGGCTGCCAGCACCTTTTACATAGTGGCCGCACATTTCACATCTTCATTAGCTGTGCAGTGACCCAAAATTCCATTTCCCCCTCATTCTTACTCACACTTAAGGTTTTGCAACCCTTGCTCCTTGGCGTGACCATCCTAATGGCTGTAAGTTGTTATCTCATTGTGATTTTGATTTGTTTCCATGATTAGTGATGCTGATAATCTTCCCAAGTGTTTACCTGTGTATACCCTCTTTGGAGAAAGGTGGACTGAAGCTGTCTGCATATTGTCAATTGGTGGTTAGATTTTCTTATGTTTGAGCTTAAGCAGTTCTTCATATATTTCAGGTGTTATTCTACCAGATAAATAATTTATAAGTGATTATTTTCCATATCACGATTGATATTTTTTTTTAATCTACAAAGTGTGTTTTGACAGATAAGAGGTTTTAATTTTAAGAAAGCCTTTTTGCTTCTCTGGTATTTTTGGTTTTGGTCATGTTTTAAGCAATAATTGCCAAGTTCAGTGTCCCCGTTCATCTATTAGTTTTGTGGTTCTCACTCTTACTTGTATGTAGGTCATGGTCCAGATTGAGATAATTTTTTGGATATGATGCAAGGAAATGATTCCCTTCTTTTGCACATGAACATTCTGTTTTTCTGACAGCGTTTGCTGCTAGCCTGTCTTTCCAGCTGTAAGTCAGCCTGCAATCCTGCTGAAAATCAGTCAATGCTGTGTGAAAGCTTGTGAGCCTAGGCTCTTTAGTCTATTTCCCCCATCTCTGCTCAGTGTTTTCATTGCTGTTAACTGTGCATGAAGTTCTAAAATCAAGGCAAGAAATCTCAAACTTGCTTCTTTTTGTTAAGATTTCTCTGGTAATTCATGGATCTTCATGATCTCGTATTATCCTTCTCCCCCACTTCATTCTGTTGTGTTTGTTTGTTTGGTTATTGAGACAAAATCTTCTATAGCTCAGGTTGGCCTCAGCATCATGGCACTCTCCCTGCTTTGGCTTCTTGAATGTTAGGATTATAGGCATGTGTCATTTTGCCAAGTGGCTGTTGTGTGACTTTTCATGAGGAGGGATGAACAAATTTGTTATTGACCTCAGATAGACACCAATGGCAGATCAAAGAAATGATTGTACCCAAGGCTAATTTAGTAAAACAGTGAAATTATTGGGATTATTACAGGGGCATGGGTGAGAATGTTACTCAGAGGAGTATGGATGATCCAAAGGTAGTTAAATCACCTAAAAGTGCCCCCCATGTATGTATGCCAGAATGGGTGATGACTCATGAAATTTGTACCCCAAGAGCTCCTTGTATATTTTAGCCAGTTGAAGAGTCTCTGATCCCAGCAATTGTTGCTTCCTATATAACCTTAAGGAGGGATGCTTAAAAGCCTGGAGTTTACTGGATCCTCAGTCCCACATATACTTTATTTCCTGAGCCATATACATTTCTGAGGGATGTGTGTTCATCTCATCCATTCACTTCAGGAGATCTAGAATCACCCAAAGGACAAGAATCTGGGCACACAGGAACAGAATATTTAAATTAAGGTTAGCCTTTTAGAATGCCTGTGAAGGGTATTCTAGACTAGGCTGATGTGGGAAGATCCACTTACATTAGCTGTAACTACAACCATTTCCTAGGCTGTAAGGCTAGACTGTATGAATGAAGAAACTAGCAGAGCATCAGCTGTTGACCGTAGGCTACAGAATGGCCTAGCCTGGCTCCCAAGCACAAAAACTGAGTTGCTAGCATGAAAGCTTTGATTAGCTTGGTAATGGTGTTAGTATGCTAGACAGGTGGCTCAGACTATACACAACTTCGGTGACAGATTATTTACTGTGTATAGTGCATGCTAGACTGGTGGAAGAGGAGAGACTTCTTGACAGGAGATGACTAAATCTCAGTGCAAGATATTTACAGGAGGCCCCATGTCTGCTTTCTGAATAGGAATCCAGGTGCACCCAAGATTTGAGGGACATCTGA